GTTCCTTCCCTGCAGCCCCAGGACACTGCACTGTGCAGCCCCCCCGGATGAGGGGACCCTGATCACCAGAGTGCCATCGCACCCCCACCATGCCCTGTGCTGGGCGCTTCCCACCCCACAACTCCCTGTGAGCAGGGAAGGAGCCTGAGCCTCCTCCAGGTACGTCTCGGAGGGCACCGGGTTGGCCATGGGCAGCAGCAGCTCCTTAAAAGTGGGAATGACCAGCTGCAGTCCTGTGAATCCCTTTGTCAGGGCAGGCACCTTCACAGCACAGAGGGTTATAAAATCCACCCGGGTTTGTAAATTCAGGTGCAGTAAAGCTCCGGGTCGGGCTTAGTGTGCCACCCTCCTCGTGTGGGGCAGCCCCAGGCTGAGCTGTGGAGCTGCTTTGGCCGTCGGGGCCTCCGGTGTTGCTGCCGGGGGGGCAGGAGTGGGAGCAGGAGTGGGAGCAGGAGCGGAGCCCCAGCCAGGGTGACGTGCTGGTGACACACACAGACTGTCCCTTTCTGCAGCCCCGCTCTCACCTGTGCTTGGGCTGCCTCGGGCATCACCTGTGAGACAGAAAAACCGGTCCCTGGCATGTCCCAGCAGCTCAGCATTGCAGCAGCCACTTCCCCTTGGGCTGTTGATCCTGGCTCACTCCAGCAGATCCTGCTGCCGGTTTGCACCAACACAGCAGTCAGGAGGGGGGTTGGTGGTGGGGATTTGGCCAGGTGGCTCATCCCTTGGGGCAGAGGCTCCGTCAGAAGGAAGTGCTGAGAGGTTGAGTCACCTCTGTCACCAGGAGAGTGTGGGGACGGGTGTTACTGTGTGCAAAGGTGATGGTCCCCCCGCCCCACATGAGTGCAGCGTGGTGGGGGAGCCCAGAGGTCAGTGGGATTTCGTGCAGTGAGGGACACGCACCTCCCATTGCTCCTCACCCTCCGCTCCTCTCCAGGTTGGGTGACTTTGGTCTCCACCAGCCACCATGGATTGGAAAACACTGCAGGCACTGCTCAGCGGGGTCAACAAGTACTCCACAGCCTTCGGCCGCATCTGGCTCTCCGTGGTCTTTGTCTTCCGCGTCCTGGTCTACGTGGTGGCGGCCGAGCGCGTGTGGGGCGACGAGCAGAAGGACTTTGACTGCAACACGCGGCAGCCGGGCTGCACCAACGTCTGCTATGACTACTTCTTCCCCATCTCCCACATCCGCCTCTGGGCCCTGCAGCTCATCTTTGTCACTTGTCCTTCCCTCCTGGTCATCATGCACGTGGCCTACCGGGAGGACCGCGAGAAGAAGAACCGGGAGAAGAACGGGGAGAATTGCCCCAAGCTCTACAGCAACACCGGCAAGAAGCACGGCGGGCTGTGGTGGACCTACCTGCTCAGCCTCTTCTTCAAGCTTATCATAGAGATCCTGTTCCTCTACCTCCTCCACAAGATGTGGGACAGCTTCGACTTGCCACGGCTGGTCAAGTGCACCAACGTGGATCCCTGCCCCAACACCGTGGACTGCTACATCGCTCGGCCCACCGAGAAAAGGGTCTTCACCTATTTCATGGTCGGAGCCTCCTCCATCTGCATCATCCTCACCGTCTGTGAGATCTTCTACCTCATCTTCAAGCGAGTTGTCCGCGGTGCACAGAAGTGGAAGAAATCCACCAAGCGCTCCGTCAGCTACAGCAAGGCCTCCACCTGCCACTGCCACCTCAAGTCAGAGGAGAAGGACAACAAGTCCCAGACTAGGTGTGTGACAGCCCTGACTGCTGTCTGAAGGGTGCTGGGAGGGGAGGGTGGAGGGAGAAGGTATTCTGGCGTGTGCCAGGGATGGTTGGTACCAGACATGACCACCAGTGATGTCACCGCCGGACTCTTCAACCAGGACCTCGGTGGCTGTGAGGGGAGGGGGACACATCCATGGGAACTCTCCTGCCTGGGACCGTGGGCACATCCCCAGGTGTCCCAGTGGCGTGGTGGCAGGTGGGTGCTGGCTGCCTGTGGGCATGCCTGAGGGTGTCTGTTCTTCCCACAGAGGAGAGGAGCTGTGAGCTCGCCCGTCCCAGCTGGTTCACATTCCCCTTGGTCCAGCAGCTTTTCCAGCCACCCCTGAACCCTCAAGAGTCAACCTGTGTGAAAAATGACTAAACCCAACAAACTAACATCCCTGGAGAGAGACCCATGGGTGCTTGAGCAGACACAGGTAAGGCGAGGGCAGCCCTGGAGCTCTGCCAGATGCACAGAGTAGTGCCACAAGCTTGGACATCACAACTGCACACAGATCCTCCCATATCTCCTCAGGTCCTCCAGCTCTGCTGCTCCCATGGTGAGTGTGAGTGCACTCACTGGTACCCAACCAGAGCTGGTGACACCCAGCATGGTGGCAGTCCCAGCTTGCTGTGCCTCACAAGTGCACAGTCCCGAGCACTGTTTCATCCTCCTGTATTTTGTACCAAAAAACCCAAAGGAATTTTGGGCTCGGCACCACAGCAGGAGCTCTCTTCATGCACCTGAAGCAATGACAGAGGAGCAGAGCTCCAGGCTGTTGCCAACTGTTCTCTCGGCCCAGTTTGACAGTATTGGGGCAGGGCAGCTTCTCCCCCTTGGCTCACACAAGCGCCGTGCCACGTCTTGCCCAAATGCCACTGCTGTCTCTGCTGCTTCCCTTGGTGCCTCTTGTGTCCCACTCACCTCGGACGGACACGTCACATATGGCACAAGCTACGGATCCAGTAAAAATTGCTTGGACACACTGGAATCTGCTCTGTCCGCTGGAAATCGGGGGGACTGGTGAGGGCAGATGACTTGGATTTGCAGAGGTTCCCCAGGAGCCCGCAGCCGGGTGCTCCTCATCCGCCCGAGCCGGGCAGGGCAGTCGAGCCCCGGGTCGGGCTCACTCCTCCCGCTCCGCCTCTCCCGGCTTGTCACGCGTCGTTAAACCTTAACTCAGTAGAACCGCACGCTGGCCCCCAAGGAAATCAAGGAAGGATCAGCATCAATTATTTACTAAACCTTGATAAATATCATAATAAATAGAAATTATTTCCATGTAATCTCTCCATAAGCAGCGCTAGCGGAGGGT